TTTAGAAGTCTCAAAAACTCTCCCACCTCTTCAGTTTGTAAGTACCATCAAAGTTCATGGAAACAGAAGTCTAGGATTTCTTGTTTTCCAATGATGACAATTTCAAGGAAGACCCCATTTAAAAATGTAAACAGTTGGACAGTACATTTTCAGTATATTATGGGTACCTCCCCTTTGGTTTGTTTTCATCTCAGTTAAATGTAAGTATGGGATATTTATAAGTGATAATGAATTTATAAACTAAAAATCAACTGATAAACCAAAATAATCTGAAACAAACCAGTAGTGCCCAGAATAAGTACAGCATGAGGCTACATAAAGGATTAAAGAAATACACATTAAATAAAATCACTGACAAGATAAGTTAGGAAGAATACAAAGTAATCAAGAATAGCTAATGGAAAAGCAGGTAGGCTAAGAGAACATTATAGCACAAAGACATATAGGATTAAATGCAGGAAACATAACACAAATAAAATCAGCTCAGGGTGTCAGGAGGCTTCAAGCAAGAATAACTTCAGCTTGAACCTGAAGTTGTGATATTATAGGCAAAATTCAACAGAAGAAAACCCTTTTTAATCCTTTGAGTGGAAACAACAAATAAGTGGTGAACATTCAGTCACCATTCTTTATTCAAATGTCCACTGGGCACATATTTGGCACTAGACAGATAAAGCTGACCCTTGAACAATATGGGAGCTGGGGTGCCGTCCCTCCAGCAGTTGAAGATCCAAGTATAACTTTTGACTCCCCCAAAACTTAGCTGTCCCTCTAAAACCAGTGTCTGCGTGGGACTGGTTCCAGGAACCCTACAGATATCAAAATTTACAGATACTTTAAGTCCCTTATATAAAATGGTGTAGATCAATGCATACAGTGGCCCTCTGTATCCATGAACTCCCACTATGATGGAATCAGTACAGGTATTTATTGAAAAAAAAATCCACATATGAGTGGACTGGTGCCATTCAAACCCATGTTGTTCAAGGGTTAACTGTATTAGCATTTGATTATACATAGTAAAAAGTAAAGAAACACACTCAAGCAATACATTTTACAGCAGTGGACAAACTGGAAAAATAGAAAACCAGACTAAGGCAGAACAGTACCAATACAGTTTTCAATTTTGCTGTATAACTCATACAATTCTGAGGCTCTCATAAATAGCTCTTAAAACCTACAGTATTGTTTTACCTATATCTTGTATAAGTCGCATATTTATGTCAAGAATCAGAGCAAAGCCAATATGAATAAAATTACAGAAAACAGATGATCATTGTGCTAAAATAAATTTCTCACAACTTTGTGGGTTTGAACATGTAGAAGAATAGGTGATATAGAGCAAGATGATATACAAGAGCTGCTAAAGAGCTCACTGTAGCAGGGCAATACCACACAGGACTCAACAAAGAAAATTACTTTTTTTTAAGCATGCTAATTTAGGAAACTGCTATCTTGATGTCATATAAAGAATCAAATGCACAAGGATGAAATGTATAGCATAGGGCATACAGTCCAATAATATTGTAGTAACTATGTATGGTACCAGGTGGGCCCTAGACTTATGGGGAATCACTTTGCAAGTTAATGTAAATATCTAACCACTATGTGGTGTACCTGAAACTAATATAATACTGAATGTCAACTGTAACTGGAAATTTTTTTTAAAAAGTCAAAAGAATGAAATTGCTCTTTTGTGACCAAAGGCAGCAAACCTATGGCAATCTAGAAGGCAAAACTAGAAGCCATAACAAGTCTGAGATGAGTATATGTGTGTATATATATATCAAGACTCAACATATATTTCCTGTGCACTACAGATCCCACAAGAGCCAGTCATCCAACTTCAATGGAGTGTTCATTTAAAATTTTTTTAAAAGGGCAACCAGATGAGTTTGTGTATTATTTTTCAGATTTATATACTTCCCAAAACACCTTACAAACTAACATATTTAAACGTAACTCGTATTTAAACTGAATCTAATAAAAGCAATTAGAGACGAGTATATTAACAACTTCAGTTACAAATTTGCTAAACTGAAGAGGATAATTCAGTTACATAGTTTCCATTTTCAAACAAATAGGAATCACACAGAATTTTTTGCATGATTTTCCTTGGAGCTAAACTCAGCAGAAATTTATGTCAACCTAGTATGTAAAAGACAATCTATAACACATGAAACTGTATTATTAACCATATTTTGCAGGGGATCTCAAAACAAATTCACAAGGTAATTTTCTAATAGAAAATTTGAAATTAAAAATCCCCTAAATGTATAAAACAAAAAGCATACAAATAAACGACAACTTAAGGGCAACATTTCTGTAAAAGGCTGAGATAACATAGTTCAAACATTTATTTTTTGGTTAATCATAGGCTAACAAGTAGAAACAAGCTGGGTAGCCACATAACATAGATAGCTATTATAAATAACCATGGTTGTCCGCCCTGCTTTTGTACTAGAATCACCTGTGATTGTTAGATTAAGTGTAAATATAAGGTTCCAAAAAGTGTCTACAATGTATCTATTGTTTACTGTTGATAAAAGTGCCGCCAATAGTAATGATTCGTGAACTAAAAGATATAAAAGATTTAGCAAGGATGAATTCTATACAGTAGACATTTACTAAATGTTATCTTTCTACATTCAAAAGCAGAGGAATGAAAAAGCTGGCACTGTCATGTGAAAGTGGAGAGTCATACTTATATTTTTGTCTAGAGAGGACGACGCTAACATGATAGTCAAAATTCTTTCAAAAAGTTCTTAAATTCTTCCATTAGAAACCTAATTTTTTGTTAAGATATTAAAGTAGATTTATAAACTCTAACTACAATTGCTGAGCTTTTATCTTTAGGAAATAAATGTGTTTAAGTGGCACAATTAGGTACATTCATTTGTAATAATAAACAACATTTATTTAGTGTAATTTCAAAAATCTAAAACAAAGGTTATTTGTAAAGGAAATAGTTGATAAAAAAGCACTCACCTTAGTAATTGACAAAATACATTCATAATTAATAACTAATTGATATGAATGACTAAGAATGATTGATAAAAATGCATTCATCTTAGCATTATCAAGATAAAGAATGATAGAATTTTAGAACTCTAAGAAACCTTACAGATTTGCTAGATCAACCCCCTTATTTTAAAGGATGTGAAAACTTCATATAGAAAAGTTAAATGATACAGGCCAAATAGCTACCTAAAACAAGCAAGGATTTTAGAGCCTAAGCCTCCTGATTTCCAGTGCTTTCCTTTTTCTGAGAGACTATGCTGCCTCCTGTAGTTTTAAATCCTCTGGCTTGGATGAGATTACTGGTTGTCTCACTGGTTTTCTTTACATTCCATTCTGAACCATAGTTGTCATTTGTAACTTTCCCATAAAATTATAATTTTCCAATCTGTTTTCTGAATGGTTGTACAGCAGAGTATGTAAATCTTCAGCTTTCTAAATTTCAGACTAGTAAACACAGGTTTCATAAAATGCTTGAAGTGCACAATGTACACAATCGAACGGAAAGAAAAATTCTCTCCTGGATAATTCAATCTACAAATTCAAAAATACAGTTACCGAGCAATCTGGCATGCAAGGTCTCATTAACTGCTGGGGATAAGCAGCTGAGCAAATTATGGCCCTTGTGCTTAGTAGCTTATAACCTAGTAGAGCAAGACAATTAAACCAATAATTAAACAGTACTTGTTAATGACTCCAAAAAAGGGAGACTGGTGCCTATAGGAAGGGAATCTAATTTAAAATAATGGAATCAGCTCATAATTTCCCAATGAGGTCCAGAACAGCAATAGGAAAAAAAAAGGCCAGCATCATTCATATTTATCAGAGTCCAAAATGAATTAAAACAGACATAGTAACTTCAATTTACTCAAGGGGAAAAACTGTACTGCACTACTTTTCAATGGAAAAGAACGATTTCTTTGTGGCTATATAACAAATACAGATTCCAACTATTTCTTAGTAAAACTTTAAATCACTATTTTAAAGAAACCAAAGAAAAAACTTGCACCTAAAACCTGTCTGCTTGATATTCACAAGAACTCTCTCCAAAGCTGCATACTAAGGTCTCAAAATTACAGGGGGAAAAAGAATCTCATCAGGTAGAAGAGAAATAACCTGGAGAACCGGTAACCTAAGAAGAAAACTACCACTCACTATTCACTCAGGGATAAGAATTAGTCAGATTTCTAGGTAATGACTTTCAGCTAAAGGATCTAGACAAGAGAAGCACAGTGGGCATTTTTATTTACATTTTTAAGCAAAGTAGCAGGAGGGGTTCAGAGAGTTGGAAAAATCATCAAAGATATGTGGAAATGAACGGACAGAAAAGAGGAAAGGGCTGGGCCAGAGTTCAAAAACCAAAGCCATAAAGATGGATGGAAGAAAAGCTGGAGGGCAGTTTGGGAAAGAGTAGTAAAGAAAAAGGCAGGGAGGAAATGGGGCGAAGGAGAGGGGGTAGGGCTGTCTAAAAAAAATGATTTGAGAAGAAATGAGCGACCAGAGAAAGGAGTGAATGGAGCTACCTCCACCGGGGATAAAACTAAATTGGCATACAAAAGGGAGAGGGGGCGATAGAGAAGCAGTGAGCTTTAACCTCCTTTCTCCCAGCCTCTAAGCCCCAGAGAGGGAGGAAGTGGCTCTCTCAAGTCCCAGGGAAGGAATTCCGGCGCAGCCTCGGAGAACCAGACTCTGCCAGTTGGGACACCAGCCAGCGGCCCCGACCCTCTCATTCCCCCACCCCTTGGACGCTGGGCGGGGCCCCCGGCAGCCAGGTTACCTGGACAGGGAATCCACGCTGGGCGGCCGTGCAGCCGCCGGGTGGGTGTCAAGACTCTCGCAGCTCGAGCTCTTCTCCATGGCGCGGCGCGGGCAGCGGGACGGAAAGGCTGAAGCGACCTCCACGGCAGCCGGGCGGGAGGAGCAGAGGGAGGAGTGCGCCGGCCAGGGGCCGCGCTCAGGCCGGCGCCGGCCCGGGAGTGAGACCGGAAGCAGCCATGTTCCCCCAGACTGCACCGCGCCGGGAGCTGCAGGGGAGCGGGAGGACCCCGCGGCGCCCCTCGGACGCCGCCGGGGCGTGCTGCCCTGGCTGCATCCCCTCTTGGTCCATCTGAGCAAGGGAGGTGACGGCTCCTGGGGTGAGAGGGTCCCAGGAGGCTGTAGGGACGAAGAGCCTGTGTGTGTGTGTGGGGGGGGGATTTTAGAAATAAGAGGCTGAAGGGAATACTAAGGATGAGGGTCTAAAAAGAAAGTCAAGGATCTGGGGGGCGAGCACAATTGAGACAGGAACGTGGAGGTCAAGGAAAGCGAGATGACAGGCTCATAAAGGAATGTGGGCAAAAGGAAGGATGGCGCAGAAAGTGCGGGGGGGGGGCAGTGTCAGGAAGAGAGGAAGAGAACGGAATAGGAGAAATGGCAAAATATTAGCCAGACTTAGGGTCCGAGAATAACGATCAAATAATTACTAAGTAATGATTAAAAGATGCTTTAGAGCCAGTCAGACATCAACTCAAAATCCTGCCTCTGTCAGATCCTTGCAGTGTAACCCTGGACATTGAACATAAACTTAGTTATATGTAAAATAGGAAAAATAATAGTTTCGCAGTTTACGTGAGTTAGCACATGTAAAATGCCTAAAACAATGTTTGGCACATAGTAAGCACTCGAGTATTAGCTGTCAGCATTACTACCTACTTCGTCAGGGTTGTTAAGATGGAATGGACTAATGTATATGAACAGTTTCTAACTCAAAAACTTCAAAAAATGGTAGCCACAGGAGGGGAAGATAGAGTAAGAATGACAGTGATTAGTAAGGGAAGGGTAATAGGGAGAGTGTTGGACTAATGGGGGTGGGGTGGGGAGTGATAATGCTCATCTTTCTATTTCCACTCCAACCCTGGGCCAGCATTGTATTTAGAAAGAGCACTAGAAAAGAACCTGAAAATTTCAGTTCTGCTGTGACTTGAGTCTCCATGGTCTGCAGGTGTCTGAAGGGGAAAAGCACTTTGGCATTAATCCATTGTCACACAGATATGGAAGAGGAAATTCAGAGGGAACTGATAAATATGCCAAAAAAAAAATCAGACACATGCTACTGGATGTGGTGGTGTTGGGTAGAGGGCAAACTTTTAGTCATCATTCCCTGCCCTCTCAAATTTCCCTGCAGAGCAGGAAGGGAGGGGAGAGGATGGAATTGTGATAAGAGAACAGGAACTGGGTGCAGAGGAAATGCTTCTGCCGGTAATTTTCTGTGTACAGAGGACACAGGAAGGACATGGAGAGGATACCATAGAGGAATTTTTCTGATTGAGCTTGAATCCCAGTCACCTCATGTATGGTGTAGGAAACGTGCACAAATTATTTCTGTAAAAGATTAGACATTAAAAAAAAAAACTCTTCCTTGCTAGGATAAGTAGAATTATGTTGATTTAAACTAGATTTAATTTATACTGACAACTGATGTTTTTAAGAAAACCTTATGAATTTGATTCCCAGTCAGGGCACATTCGTGGGTTGCAGGCCAGTTCCCAGCAGGGGCCAGTTCCCAGCAGGGGATGCACCAGAAGCAACCATACATTGATATTTCTCTCCTTCTCTCCTTCCCTTCCCCTCTAAAGATAAATAAATAAAATCTTTAAAAAATAAAAAAAAAGAAAACCTTATGAAGACAGTGAAACATTAACTTGGAATTTACATTTCCCAAAAGAACAACCTAGCCAAGTTATGTTCATCATAAGCTAGAATACTTATTAAAGTGAATTAAATATGTGAGAAAGAACAAAAGGCTTTGCCTTTCTGTTCCCTTCTAAAGCTTGTCAAGGACAGGATGATAGCCAATGTTTTTTATTTCTATAACTTTTAAAGAGAACTTTACTGTACTCCTTTAACAGGCAAAGAGAGTAAGTAGTCCAGAAACGTAAAACAAGCATAAGCACCTACAATGATTCATAAATAATTTGCTGGTACTTCCCCATCCTACCTGCCTTCCAAAATGCTGACTCACTGTCACTTGATAATTCGACGTAGGTTTTCCCACCTAAGTTTGGTGAAGACTGATGAATCTTTGAATGGGAGACCTGCATATTACTACCCAGTTCATTTCTAGCACTTGAAACCATCTTCCTGATGATGTAATAATTTGTATATGGGCCAATCTGGTGATTAATAAAGAACAGTAATATTAAGTGTAGAGACTTTTAAACCAGTGAAATCTGAGTTGGAATCCTGCTTCTGTCACATACTTGCTCCATGATTTTTATTAAGTTGCTTCTCCAAGATTCAGTTTTCTTATTCCTAAAATGGAAATTAAAAGACCACATAATGAGTTGTTTTTCTATACACAGAGTTGGTTAAACAGTAGGCTCTCAGTAACTGGTTTTGTTACTATTATTGTTCTGTGAACTTACTGTTTTACTCCTCACCTGAACAGTAAAACAGTAACTTTTCAGATGGAACAACAAGCAAATAATACCTAAATCTCAGCTGTAAGTTAAAGTAGTGCTGAATTCTTTTTCTGACAATCGGCTGCTATGTCATTCATATATGTATATCCAAGAGAAGTCAACTTGATTAGGACTTTCTGCAGCTAAAGAACATTTTAGCCTATCAGATCATTCAGAAACTAATGCTATAATCAAATTATAGTTTAGCCTCATCTCTCCTATTAAATGGTTAACTTGAGAACTTCCCAAAGGTAATTTTCTTGTTTACAATCTAAACCAATGTTTCTCAGATTTTATGTGGGAAGAACCAATTTTTTGTTTTTAATTTCCATACCATCACCAACCAATTTTTTAATCTACAAAAATTAATTGTTAGAAAAAAAGAAATTTAAGGAAAACCAAAGGCATGCAAAATAAAAGGCCACTTGTTCCTTATATTTAGCAGATACAAAATTGCTCCATAGAAGATACATGAAAGTGTCAAACATGTATTCTCAGTTCTGTCTTCATGAACAAGGCAACAAATAATTCACATACTAACACTGGTTGACAGGTCACAATTTAAACAGCAATTTGGATCTATGGGTTATTGCCTATCAGCTTATCAAAGGCTGTTTACTAGATGATATGAATTGGAATAAGGAAATAAACATCTTTTGAGATAGTAAAATGGTGGATTATGGGCAAGTAGAGGAATACTTCTGCTTCTCTTAAAACATGAATGGCAAAAGTAAAATCTTTGAAAATATTAAGCATACATGGACCTTATAATTAATTATTTCTATCCAAACATTTAAAATTTTTTTATTACTTTGGGTTGGAGAGTTCTATTTCTAGTATGGAGGAGTAAGCTTCCAACAGAAATGTGGAGAAAGTAATCAACAGAAAGTGAGTTTCCCATTTTGGCTTTGACCTATAGACAGACTGAAATTATGGTGCAGTACAGGGTGGCAAAGACTCGCAAAGCCTGCTGTTTTTCCGTTGTGAGGAACCAAGAGAAGGAAACTCAGGGAAGCTAGAAAATGAGGCAGAAATTCAGAAAAGGGAACTTTGAACTGTATAAACTTGGACAATCTCTGGCTATGTCCTCATTTTATTTGAATAACAAAGGCAGAGTGTAGGTAGCTCAGATAAAAGTACTAAAAATAGAATATCCTCATACTTTTTCAGATAAAAGAATTTAAACAAGGTTTCAGCTGTTGCCCACTATAAGCAAGACAAAATTCTCATTTGGTTCCAGCAAAGTTAATTTCTTGCTAAACAAAGGATCCATACTTTGCAAAGGAATAAAACAGAATCCAGAGACTCTGAAACAATGCTCATAATACAGTTCAGAGTTATGTGTTACTTGACATAAGGTATGTGTTACTTATGTTCAGAGTTTTTATTACTTGACATAAAAAGTAAGAAGAGCCCTGGCCAGGTTGCTTAGTTGGCTGGAGTGCCATTGTCCCAGATGCCAAAATGTTGCAGGTTCCATTCTGGGTCAGGGCATATATCTAGATGGTGGGTTTGATCACCTGTTGGGGCATGTGAGGGAGGTAACCAATGGATGTCCCTCATACCAATTTTTCTAAGATCAATGAACATATCCTTGGGTGAGGATTAAAAAAAAAACACAAGGAAATGGGACCTATTCTCAAAGAGAGGATAATAAAGAAGAGGCTAAATTTCAGATCATGTAGAAACTGGAATTATCAATGGCTTTAAAGCAGCTAATGTGTTTAATGAGGTAAAGCAAAATACATTGTAATCAATGAAAAGGTATTAACACTCAGCAGAGGAATCAAACACATAAAGAACCACATAAAAAAATACAGTGCCTAAAATAAAAAGATTCACTGTCTGGACCTAATAACAGAATGGGTTTAACAGAAAAATGTTAGAAACTTGAAGATAAGTCAATACAAATGATCCAATATGAAAAAGAAAAAAGATTTAAAAAATATTAACAGAGCCCGGGGAACATGTAAAGCAATATCAAAAGCAATATACATATCATTGGAGTCCCAGAAGAAGTAGAAACAATTAGGCAGAGAAAGCTAAAGAAACTATAGCCAAAAACTCACCAAATTTGGCCAACGACACAAATTTACAGATTCAAAATGCTCAGTAAACACAGAACAGGATAAATACAAAACTATGTCTAGGCACATTATAATTAAACTGTTGAAAACCAAAAATAAAGAGAGTCTTAAAAGAAGTTGGAGAAAAGTAACACATCACATAAAGGGCAATCACAATTCTAAAGGTCACAGATTCTCCAGCAGATAGTACGGATGATAGGAAACACTAGAGAAACATCTTTGAAGTGCTTGTAAAAAAGAAAAAGTCAAAACAATATATCAAACAAAAACATCTTTCAAAGATAATGGTGAAATAAAAACATTTTTTAAAGATTTTGTTTGTTTGCAGAGAGAGGGAAGGGATGGAGGAAGAGAAGGAGACAAACATTGATCCGGCTCTCTCTCACAGGTGCACACGCCCTGGCTAGGGACCCCGGCATGTGCCCTACTGGTAATTGAACCGGCAACCTTTCTCTCTTTCTGTGGGACAAGGCCCAACCAACTGACTCACACCAGTCAGGGAAAGGAAGAACATTTTTAGATGAAGGACAACTAAGAGAAAATGTTGCCAGCAGACACTACACTACAATATGCTAAAGAAGAGGTGGCAAACACAAGACCCAGGGGCCAAATCTGGCCCTCCACCTTGTTTTATCCAGCCCAGCACCTTGTTTCTACCCAGCAGCATCTCTGAGCTCCTTGCCCCTAGTTAAGGAGTAGTTACATTTATACAGTCCTAAAATTATATTTGGTCCTTTGAAGGCAACCGCAAGGCTGATGTGGCCCCTGGTGAAAATGAGTTTGACACCCCTATGCTGGAGCAAAAAGAAATACCAAAGGAAACATGGACATTCAAGGTAAAGATTAAGAATAGGAAATATCTGGGTAAATAAAGCTATTTTTCTCTTAATTTCTTTAAAATACTTTAAAGCAAAAATCACAACAATTTTCTGGTGGAATTTATAATGAAAGTGTATATCATATATATGAAAATTAGAGTGTAAAAGTTGTCATTGTAAATAGGACTATATAATTGCTAAGTTTCTATTTTCTATGATGTACTTCAACATGAATTTTAAGCAATCTTATTGTTAAGGTATTATTATTACTATTCATATTTTAAAGGGGGGAACTTTTCTGAAGCTTTGAAAATTTAAATATCCCCAAATCACATAAGGCAGAATAGGGACTACAGTTTCGATCTGCTTAACTCTAACACTCATCTACTTTATCACTATTCTGTGATTCTTCATGAATAATTAATAAAATTTTCACAATAATGAGCTAAACGTCGATTGAGGACTGGCAACAAAATTTCCTTTGCCGCGGTATACTTCTATACATTTCTTGGTTAAATTTTTCTTTAGTCTGTAAGTCCACTAAAACTCACCTTGCAATTAATGACCCTCTTCCAGCTTTCCAGGGGGCAAATGGGATTGACAAATTATGCTAGTATACTTTAAATGACTGTAATCCGTGCTGTGCATTTTTCCAAGAAAGCAATATTTCACACATTACCATAAGTGGATCATTGTCTTCCAGTCACTTATTTCTGCAAGGCAGAAAATTAGTGTCAGACCAGCATCAAGGAATAGCAATGGTTTCCCAGATATGATTCCAAAAGCGCAGGCAGGTTACAAAAGGAAAAACAGACAAATGGGTCTACATCAAACCTAAAAGTGTTTCTGCTGCAAAGGATACAATCAATAGAGTGAAAATACAACTTACTAGATGGGAGAAAATACTTAAAAATCACATATCTGATAAGAGACATGTATCCAGAATATATAAGGAACACTTAAAAATCAACAACAAAAAAAAATCAAATAGCTTTATTAGAAAATGGGCAGAAGACTTGAAAAGACATTTCTCCAAAGGTGATATACAAATGATAAACATATGAAAAGATGCTGAACATCACTAATCTTTGGAGAAATGTAAATTAAAACCATAATGCTTCATGCCATTAGTATGGATACTATCAACCCCCCCCCCCCAAAAGAACAAGTATTGGCTAGGATATGGAGAAATTGGATAACTGTGCACTGTTGGTAGGATTGTAAAATGTGCAGCCACTACAGAAAATAGTATTGCAGGTTGTGCAAAATAATTAAAAATGGAACTACCATATGATCAAGCACCCCATTTCTGTATATATATGCAAGAGAATTTAAAGTAAGATCTCAAAGAGATATTTGCACACCTATCTTCATAGCAGCATTATTTACAGTAGCAAAGAGGTAGAAATAATGCAGATGTCAATTAACAGATGAATGGATAAACAAAATGTATATGTGTGTATGTATATATATTCATATTCAATGGAAAATTATTTAAACTTAAAAAGGTAGGGAATTTTGTCACATGCTACAACATGGATGAAACTTGAGGACATTATGCTAACTGAATGAAGCCCATCACAAAAAGACAAATACTGTATGGTTCCACGTATATGAGGTAACTAAAGTAGCCAAAATCAGAAAGAAAATGCAATCTCTCTCTTTATCACATGACAGAAGCAAATGTAATGAGTTTGTCATATAAATGTAGTTTATGGAAATTCATATATGAAAGACAAACCTGTAGCTTTAGTGAATTTTGCAGAATTTGCTAAGTTATAATACCGTAGACAACAAATCTTCAACCTTTTGCAGCTCATGGAACACATGAATGAATTAGTAAATATTCACAGCACACTAAAAAATACATTTTTTGTTTATCTGACAAAAATAGGTATAATTTTGATTCATTCACACTGGACAGGCTGTGGTCATTTTTTTATTTGACAATCTAAGGGAAAAGAGGTCAGTACCCCTGATTAAATAGTCAGCTTCTGCATGTTTTAAAATTTTCTTGTGGCGTACCAGTTGAAAATCATTGCCATAGACAGATAATTTTGAAGAAAAACAAGATAACTAGAATGTTCTTAGGATCTTGATATGATAAAATAAAATATGACTTTATAAATAATAAAATGCTTCTGTCAAATAGCAGATGGATTAATGGAGCTGGAAACTTAGCAGAATCCTGGCCTTAATACTTCCAATATGGCCCTGGCTCGGGGGTTCAATTGGTTGGAGCATTGTCTTGTGCTCCAAAAGGCTGTGGGCTTGATTCCCAGTGAGGGCACATACCTAGGTTTCTGGTTCAATCCCCAGTCAGGGAGTGTACAGGACGTAACCAATAGATGTTTTACTCTCACATTAATCTTTCTGTCTTTCTCTCCACCCCCACTTCCTCTTTCTCTAAAATTAATAACTATATCCTTGGTGAGAATTAAATAAAATAAAATATTTCCTATGCATGTGAATTTACAGCAGTTTTTCTGAGCTCCTGTAAAAATGTAGCTAATATTCCCTCTCCTTCCCATCTTAATGTGCATTAATATACATTAATTGCACATAATTATACACATACATATCAGAATGTGAGAATTGAGGTATATATAAAAGTATCTAATGTGGCACCTGACACATTATCCATGTTCTACAAGCGGTAGTTCTCCAGTTTATTAAAAGAATAAAGAGACATACAGTACAGGTCAGACCAAACAAGGACGACATTGCTGAAATTTGGCAGTAATTGAAGACTCCAGGATCTAGTTTTTTCTAATAATGTTGGGGACATGTTAACGTCAACAGACCAAACTAGCTGAAATACATTTTTTAAAATCTCTGGGTTTGAATCTATTTATCTCATTTTCAGATATTTTTATTTCTATAATTGTGATTTAATCTAGCAACTGTTATTTTTACCCTGATGAATTTAAAGTCTCAATTTGACCATAGTTCCTAACCTACACATCTGTGCACATGTTGCCTTCCTTTTTTTGATTCATTAAAATTGCTTTCACATTCATGACATTTTCACGACTTCCTGATATATTACCTCAGGCATTGGGAAGCAGATAAAAGATTTCTGGCATCTTGGGAAGGATGAATTTGTCCTGGAAGAGATTACATCTTGATGTATTGTTATTGAATCTCCTGGAAAGTGTTGTATGAACTGTCAAGCTTTGGTACCTGTTTTCAGTGTCTAGTGTTGGGTATCTAATGTATATTGCACTTATGCAGTGTGAGTTGCTTATACTTTCAAGGTCATCTGGCGCATTTCTGCTCTAATTCATGACAACTAAAGTGGCTATATGAGACAATGGCTTCTCCTTGACCTTAAATGAAGTTTGTGTTTTGAACTGAAAACTAATCAAAAACCTAGTTGTCTTCACCTAGGGCTGCAATCACTTTGAAACGCTCAGAATTGAAGATAAGATTGAGTCAGAATAACTTGAAGTCCCTTTTTACTTTTTTCTCTCTTGTCATAGCAAGATGATTTTGGCATATCTTTGCTAACAATTCCTCTATCCTAGTATTAAAGTTCTCACACCTCCTTGAAATTTTTGCTCAAATGTCTCTCAAGATTTGCTTTGACTATTCTATTTAAAATTTCACATACACCCTGCACTTATATCTCCTTTAGTTTGTTCAATTTTTTTCATACAACTCATTGTTATATGCTTGTCATATACTTTTCTAATTTATCTATCTATTGTTATAACATGTTTCTTCCAACTAGGAATCATTTTTTGTTTTGCCCACTGATGTGTTCCAAGAATCTGCAAAAGTTCTTGGAACAAAATATGCGTTCAATAAATGTATCTTTGAATGAATGTTTTGTAGGTGCCTCCAAGAAAATCATTGATCTGATTTGAGAGTGCTCATGAGAACACCACCTAATCACAAGAGAAAATGGTATTTACTGCCAACAATGTTTTGGGTGAGTGAGGATTTCCTGAAAAATATATTCTCTTGGCAGATTATGTTTGTGTATTCTTTCCCTTTCCAGGCAATCTGTCCATCATTAGGTTTAATTGTAAAAGACATGCTCCTTTCTTTGTAATGCTTTCACTTTATTCATGATTTATAATAACTTACAGTGCAAGATAAAATGTCTGTGAACTGCAACAGAGATGAAAAACTAACACCATTGTTTGTATTACCCAAACAGGAATCCTCTTTGGATCTCTATATAAAGAGATCCTTGGACCTCTGTGTCTAAATTTTAAAGCTTGGATTCTGTCACAATGCTATGTTTTTAGATGTTATTCATATACTCTAAAGGACTTAAAGCAAATTGAATATTGATTTTTTTAAATTAAAAAGTGGAGCAATAGGAAATCTCAAAAAACTGACATGCTTAAAAGCTATTTAATAACAAAGAAGAAACACTAAGAAAATATGTCTCCTGCCCCTGCATCTCAGTGCTACAGTTTCAAAATATGGAAAATCTATATATGTTTTTTAGGTCAGCAAAATTTGCATAAAGGAAACTTGCATAGGGAAATTGAGGGGAAAAAAGAGATGAGTACAAACAACTAAAGAGGAGGGTAATTGTGAAGTGTTACTTTCAAGAGGAATTGTACAGGGCCAAAGCTATTTTATTAAATCCTTGGAATGCAATTTCAAGTTTAAACAATTTGTCACTTCCTGAAACCAGATTCACTAGAAATATTCAAAGAAGTTTAAACTGATGCAATTGACTGAAAAAACAAAGAACCCAAACTAAAAAGAGATCAGGGATTTTGACTTAATAATCTGTTTGCTCCAGTTTTACCTGGGGAGATCAAAGTCAGGCGGCTCCCTGCCTGCCTTGGTTCTTGTCTTGCTTGCCAGAGACAAATTCAAATGACAGACAACATGTATGGTGGAAATAAGATAGCAGTTTATTTATGAACACATATGAGCACGAAGCTGCAAGCAGTCACCCGGCTAGTCTGAATGCCCCATGTATAGAGGAAATAAAGTTAGTAAGTTTGTTCTACTCACTTGAGCCAATGTTATAAGTGAGCACTCAGCTAATCTGAGTGCCTTGACTATTAGGGTTCAGGGGTTATACACCTTAGTCATATTTTATGTTCCCTCTCCTTTTTCCCCTTCTAAATGTTGGGAATAATGTACAGCTACAAAGGCTTCTTTCTTAACTAGTGGAGGCTCTTTGTCTTAGAGAAGTTGCTACAGAGGCTCCCTTTCCCAGCACAGAGATTCCCTTTCCCAGCACAGAGATTCCCTTTCTCAGCACAGAGTCCCAAGGACTTTCCTCCTCTGAGCCATCCCTGGCTGTGTTGTTTGGAACACCCAGCAATCTTATTGGGCTGGGCTCAGGACTGCTGAGTCAATGGGTGAGACGTGTCTCCTTCCTCCACCCTGCCTTGGTTTACTATCCTACCTAACACTAGGATAAAGGAATCGCTGGATAGTTGCCCTCTTCATCTACATTTTATTTTTATAAATATTTATCAAAACCCTACCTTTTCCATAGAGGTTTGAGGTGGCTTTTAAAAGATACATGGAAGTAAAACAAAAATCTCCCGGTCAAGATGGCAACATAGCTAAACACAGCTCACCTCCTTGCACAATCACATCAAAATTACAACTGAACATGGAACCATTACTCGGAACCATCAGAAATCAAGCTGAATGGAAGTCTGACAACTACAGAATTAAAGAAACCTCATCCATCCAGACTAGTGGAGGGGTGGAGATGCGGAACAGGCTGGTCCCATATTCACATGTGGTGGATAAAAATTCAGGAAGTATATCTCAGGTGTGAGGAGTCCCAGGCCCACACCAGGCCCCCCACCCCAAGTTTCCAGTGCCAGGAAGAGTAAGTCCCCATAATGTCTGGCTTCAAAAACCAGCGGGCACTGAGTTGGTGGAAGAAACTGCTGGAGACTTAAGCACTTCCTTTTAAAGAACTCACACACGGACTTACTCAGACTCACTCCCTCTGAGCTCCAGCACTGTGGTAGCAGCTTGAAAGGCACCAGTGGCAGACAGGGAGGAAGTAAAGGGTCTGGCATCAAGGTGAGAGCTGGGGGACAGCGTTCTCCTGGGAAGAAAGGCCACTGTCCACCTCGCCCCACCAAGTGAGGATAGTGCAAGCAGACTCTGGGACAACTCAAGGTGTTCCAACATTGCATCATAGGGGTGCCAGAAGGTGAAAAGAAAGAGCAAAAAATTGGCAATCTACTTGAAATAACAGTGAAAGAAAACTTCCCTAATTTGGTGAGGAAAAGAGTCATGCAAGTCCAGGAAGCACAAAGAGTCCCAAACAAGACTGATATAAAGAGGCTCACTCTAAGACACACCAATTAAAATGCCAAAGGTTAAGGGTAAAGAGAGAATCTTAAAAGCAGCAAAATAAAAGTTACCTACAGGGGAGTCCCCGTAAGACTGTCAGCTGATTTCTGAAAAGAGACTATGCAGGCTAGAAAGGATTGGCAAGAAATACTCCAAGTCATCATGAAAAGCAGGGACCTACAGCCCAGATTTCTTTACCCAGCAAAGGAGGGCAGATAAAGAGCTTCTCAGACATGAAAGCACTGAAGGAGTTCATCATCACCATACCATTATTATATGAAATGTTAAAGATACTTATTAAGAAAAAGAAGAAAATCAAAACTATGAACAATGAAATAGCAATAAAACATATCTGTCAACAACTGAATCTAACAAACAAACTAAACAAATAAGAAGAAGAGAGACAGAATCATGGATAGGGAGAGCATTTTGATGGTTGCTAGATGGTTGGGGAATGTGGAGGAAAGGGTGAAGAGGTGAGGGGATTAAGAAGAACAAAGGTAGTTAAAGAATAGCCAGGAGGACGTAAAATACAGTATAGGAAATGGAATAGCCAAAGAAATTATACTTAGGACCCACAAACATGAAGAATAGTGTGGGGATTGCCTCAGGGAGTGGAGGTGTCAGGTGGAGGGGGGGAAGAGGTGAGAAAATTAGGACAACTGTAATAGCATAATCAGTAAAACATAACTTAAAAAATAAAACAAACAAGAAAAACAGAAAGATAAAAAAGGTACTAAGAAAAAAGATAATAGAAAAAGAATCTTAAAAAAACATTACATTTCTTTTAAAACAACTTATACATTTTACATTTAGCCTCCATGCAGACTTACCTAAAAATAAACACATAATCAGTTATATCATTCTCATGATCAGAAAGTAAAAATCATTCAGTTTTTCAGAAGAAAGAGAAGTTTTTATTTAGAACTGAATTATACAAAAACTATCTCGCTGAAATTTTATATTAAGTATATAAAGTGATATAAAATAACATTCTCAACAGGATTTTTTGGTAAGTGCCGTAGCTTCTATTATATGACTACTTCTTATAATAATTTACAAAATAAGGGATATAAAAGACCTCTACTTGGAAAATTGTAAGACACTGAAAAAAGAAATTGAAGAAGATACAAATAAATGGAAGCACACACTGTGTTTATGGATAGGAAAATTTAACATCTTTAGAATGTCCATACTATCCAAAGCAATCTACAGATTCAAAGCAATTCCTATCGAGATACCAAGGTTGTATGTCACAGAACTAGAATATATATTTCAAAAATTTAGATGAAACCATGAAAGATCCCACACAGTGACAGTGATCTTGAGAAAGAAGAACAAGGTTGGAGGAATCATACTACCTAATATCAAACTATTCTATAAGGCTATAGTAATCAAAACAGCATAGTACTGGCATAAAAATAGACACATAGATCAATGGAACAGAAAGAATAGAGAACCAAGAAATAAACCCACACTTTTAAAGTCAATTAATATTTGACAGAGAATGCAAGTACATACAATGTGCTAAAGATACTTTATTCAATGAGTGGTGTTGGGATAATTGGACAGTTACATGCAGAAAAATGAAACTAGACCACCTTCTTACACTACACACAAGAATAAATTCAAAATGGATTAAAGACTTAAATGGTAGACTCCAAGCCATTAAAATCCTAGAAGAAAACATAGGCAGCAAAATCTCCAACATTGCTTGCAGCAATATTTTTTGTCATCTATTTCCTCAGATGAGGGAGACAAAGGAAAAAGTAAATAAGTGGGACTTCATCAAACTAAAAAGTTTTTCACAGCAAAAGAAATCATCAACGAAATAAAAAGACAGCCCCACAGAATGGGAGCATATATTTGATGATACATCTGATAGGGGTTAATATCCAAAATTTATAAATAACTTACAAAACTCAACACCAAAAAAACAACCCAATTAAAAAATGAGCAAAGGACCTGAACAGACACTCCTCCAAGGAGGACATACAGATGGCCAATAGACATATGAAAAGATGCTCAAACTCACTAATATCAGAGAAATGAAAGTTAAAATCACAATGAGATATCACCTCATATATGTCAGAATAGCCATCATCAATAAATCAAAAAAACAAGAGCTGGCAAGGATGTGGAAGAAGAGGAACCCTTTTGCACTGTTGATGGTAATGCAGTTTGGTGCAGCCACTATGGAAAGCAGTATAGAGATATCTCAAAAAATAAAAAATGGATCTGCCTTTTGACCCAGTGATGCCACTTCTGATATATATATATATCTCCAAAGAAACCTAAAACACTAATTTTAAAGATCACAAGCACCCCTATCTTCATTGCAGCATTGCTTATAATCACCAAGATATGAAAGCAGCCCAAGTGTCCATCAATAGATGAGTGGGTAAAACAAACATGAAACACTTACGCAATGGAATACTCCTCAGCCATAATGAAGAAAAGAATTTTATCCTTTCCAACAGCATGGGTGGACCTGGAGAACATTATGCTAAGTGAAACAAGTCAGTCAGGGAAAGACAAATACCATGATTCCACTCATGTGGAATCTAATGAACAAACTGAGCTAACAGGTAAGATAGAGACGGACTCACACATAGAGAGCAAGCTGACAGC